TAATATATAATAAATTGTAATATATAAAATCAAAAGTATAAAATAATAAAGTAACATAAAAATAATAAAATAATATATATTTTTTAATATAAATATAAAATAAAATAAAATTAATAAAATATAAATATATAATTAATTGAGTTGATGTTTATGACAAAAAATCATTGGCACAATTTTCAAAACAATCAACACCCTTAATATTAAGGGGTGTCATTAGCACTGCCCTTAATATGTAATTTGAGTAGACAGAAAGAAAGAAATAAAGTCATAGTTTTTACTACTCAAGTATCACCCAGAAACTTGTGTATATGTATGTTCTTCTACCTATTAATTTTTTTATTTATTAACCTTGATATATATCCAACCCGCTATACGAGATGACCACCTGCTTTACAAATAGTCCAGAGTCACCGCATTTGAACCTTCGTGGCCACAAAGACGATTTTTATTACTCATTGAATTTGAACATGGGACCTCCAGATACTTTTGAGTTGGCTCACCAATCACACATCACCCTTGATTTTCTACCTACTATTTTATTCCATCGCTTTCAATTTTCTAATAATATATCCTTAATTTCTTTTGGTAAAAAGTTATCAGAAAAATATTATTTATTTTTCTTTATAAATTGAAATTGGATGGATGGGTTATTAAAATTTAATTGATGATTGAATTCCACCCCAATGCATTACATGTGGACCAATGAATACCCCAACCTTTAATGTACAGTTTCTTGTTTGGATGAACATTTTTATTTTGTTTATTATTAAAAATATATATTTAGTAATTAATTGATTAAAAGATTAATTGTGTATGTAGAGATGGGCATTCTTATATATCTGGGCAGTTAACTAGTGAGGCCCAATAATGATCATATGTAGTTACTACTTACTACTACTAGTTAGAGAGTTGGAGCAACTGGTTTGGGCCTTGTAACTTGTTTTAGTTTGTGTTAACTGTTGTGTGAGATAGATGTTGGGCCTTAATTTGCATGGGCCTGTAATGTAACTGTAACTGTAAGTAAGCTGTCAGCATCACCCATTCTTCAAAAAAATGGCATATTTGTATTTAGTTGTAAAGAAAGCATGAATGATTTGGTGGGAATAAAGGAAGAGCAAGTTTTGATGGTCAACTAGAGTGTCAAATCCATCTCCCTTTTTCTGTATTTATGTAACTTGTAACTTGTAACTTTATAATGATGGAAGGAAATCATGCATATGACCTTACAAAAACTTGTTTGATTTTGTGTTAAAAGTTGTGAAAACATGAAAAAAGAAGAGGCTCATGTTATTTTGATTCACCAAAAGAATGAATATGTTTGCCACTAATGTCCCCAACGTCAACGCTTGGTTTTGTTTCTTTCATTCACATTTCCATCCTTTCTTTTTATCTGCCTCACCTACTCTTTTACTTTGATGATATGTACACACACACACACAGAGACACAGACACAGACACTTTAACCACTGAATTGGCTATTCAGCTCTACTTTAATGTCTTAAGAAACCAACACTACTGCTATTACTACTACTACTTGTTCTTCTGTAACACTATATATGGTAATGGTAATAGTAGGCAGGCAAAGACAAGAGTGTAAAAGGCTGAAACAACACTTTATAATTAAGTAATTACATGAATTCAAGACCAATCTAGTTGAAACTAGATTTGCTGTTTTATTCTAAATTACATTACATTACTAGCATATAATATATCATTACTTACTTACAACAAACCAGATACAGGTTATACTGTCTGTTACAAGCAAAAATTTAAACTCATAAAGAGATGGCAGGCTAGGCACATGCCAATTAGAGAAAGGGTCTTCCTTCATTTTCTTCCCAAGGAAGATGGTCCACTTGGGCTATGCAACACTCTGAGTTCATTAATTCTCGGACTGTATGCTTTCAAGGATAATCGTGGACTTTGAAGGTTCATTCCATCTCTTGAAGGAGTTGCTGAGGTGCTTGTCACTCGAGAGCTGCACGTACGCCTAATCTCACCCCTGCTTCTCGTTATTACCTCATCCAACACTTCTCCAGCATCTGCACTCGTAGATCTAGCACCAAATTCTCCCTCCTAAATTCAACAATGAAAAACACTTGCTTAATTACTTTTCATCCTTTATGATGGATTTTTCCAAGTATAGTGAAAACTTTACCTGAGGATAATTAAAAGGTATAGCTGGGGCCTCCTCATACTCTGCTGCATCCAAGTCCTGAAGGTGTACCCCTTTGAAAAACTTGGGCAAAATGTATTGTCTTACTGGGACTAACAGCATGATCATCAAAGGGAACAGAAGTCCCGCTATAGGAACCCATGTTAGCCCAAAACAGATGAGCAAGTATGTTGTTTGGAATAATGTAAATGTCGCAATCGTCTTGAATGGCACAGTTTCCACAAACGTAGCATGGTAGTCTTCCAGAACTCTGCATGTCCACAATATTCCTTATTATGCCATCTAGTTTTCTTGAACTTTTTTTCTCATGTCAAATTCAAACAAACTACTTACTTGAATCTGCGGCTTGGTGCAGTGAAAAGAAGTAATATCCTTTCCCAGAACTGGTTCCCAGGTAAGCTTTCTATGGCCATGAAAGCAAAGTAACCCCAAAGGACTGAAGTTGGAATCAGTTTTAGAAAAGGCATCGCTGCAACACATCCTCCAACCATGCATGATTGGAGTAGGTTACTCACACGTTGTTCTTTCACCTCAACAGGCAACAAATCATCTATCTCCTTCTCCACATCAAAAACACTGTCAACCACAGGTGCATCAATATTCCCCATGCTTGAAGCTAATTGAACTGTTGATTCTTTTAGTTCCTTCAACCCCTGCTCAACCATAACATAACATATTTTAGTCAATATATAACTTATTACCAACTTCTGAGCAATACAAATAAGTCCATTACATCTGAGGGTGCTTGGTGGATTAAGGGAGTCTGCATTTGCTGATATGCTTCCTGCATGTTTCCATATAACTGTCCTAAGCTTGAGTTCATCCTCATACTCTCCCGTGCCGTTTCAACTAGTCGATTCCGAAGCAACTGCACATTCAGATATGGTTGCAGTGAGTTATAAATAAACAAACAGCATTGTCATTTATGTCAAGTTACCTGGTGTTTCAGAGTAGCAAGACTCTTGGTATGCATAGGAGATTGGGGAATGACACCATTGGATGGGGGAATTCCAAGCAGACCACACAGTAATGTCTGCAATGAAATGCACAATCTATAAGAAACTTATTCAAAAAATGCATATAAAGGTCAGGATAACTAAAAAAGGCACCTGTGAACAGGGATGAAACAGATAGTAGAATTATTTGAAAACTAGACAAGTTAGATGCACACCAAAAATCCCAGAAGGAGCAAGTCATAATGGAAAGAAGGCGGCTTTCTCAAATTGAATTCTTTCTGCTGAGCAAGTTGAGATGCTACACTGTGATCAAAGTAGTACAGTACGGCAATCATTGTTGCTGGAACAAAAGCTCCAAATATGAAGAGAATAGGCACATCCAGCATATCCTGTCATTTAGAGTTGCAGACCATTTAGTGTCCAACGCAAGTTAAACAGCACAATAACAAATGTAAAAGCAAAAAAAGAAAGATTTTACCTTGACAACTGTCCAATTTTCATATGCACCAGGAGACCAAGGATTTGGGCTAAAGAGACGCCGTGGGATTCCTTTTGGAACACTTCCGGCTGGTGCATAGGAAACAGCTGTCCAGACAAGAACCATAAGGGGCACCCCATAATCTGCAATAAGGCTTCTAATCCAACCTGCAGGGACAAAATTTGTAAGATTGTAGGCTAGAAATCAATCATTGATTATTTTGACATATTAGCATATGCTTACCAGCACCATATCTCCATGATCTGGCTTTCCGGCTTTTTAATCCAGTCAGCAAAAGGCCAAATGACAAAACAAGTGCAAACATTCCATTGGCAAATCTCCATGAAGGTATAAACTCGGTTGCCTTTGAATCTGCTCTCGCTGGTATGCGGAACTCATCTACTAGTCCCTGAATCCAGATTTGAATCAGATTAAATCCCAAATAAAATCTATGTCATGAAAATACAAGACACTTCCTGTGTCACATAAAATTGCAACAACTTTACCACAAGAAAATTAAAAACGGAAAAGAAAACCGTTAACTAGACGGGTTGAAACGCTCCTACAGTTTTGTTATAAGATATGCTTGTTGAAAGTTTTATGGAACACATTAACAATAAATATACTTACTCTGATCGCTTGTTGCATAAATAGCATGGCAATAAGTAGGCCAAAGAGTTCACCAGCCACGCGTGTAAATCGGTTGATAATAGAACACGCTCCTAGTATGGCTAGCAAGAAGAGTAAGGCGGCAGTCCACACACATACCCTGAGAGTTTAAGTAGAAAGCATGTTCGGGTAAACAAAGAATCATATGATCAAACCAATGAATTCTAAACAGCAAGAATGTACTATACTATAGAAACAACAAGTGTACAAATACAAGTGGTATAATTATACAGTAGCTTATGAAACAAAAGTAATAAAAAAGAGAAACATACTCACCAACCAGTCCATGCAAGAAACAATTTGTGACCCAATTCTGGTCTTTGTTTGGCAAAGTTATACATGAAGGTGTACATGAGGACTGTAGGCTCTGCAACACCTAAAATCAGTAAAGGTTGACCTCCAATGATGGAGTGTATGATCCCACAAATTGCAGTGGAGGCCAATGTTTGAACGGCCGTCAAAGCTCCTTCTGTAAGTACCAAAGCAGACCATCTTAACAAGGATGAACTAAAATATAAATCAATTGCCTAATATTGGAATCTATTTTGCATACCAGTATTTCGTTCCAGTTGTTCGCCGAAGGATATAACTGGGATTGCTGAGGCGAAAAATATATATGTGGTGGGAGCCAAGATTCTATGGTTATGCAAAAAGAAAGAGGAATCAAACAGTCTACTTGAAACTATGAAAATTTAATCTAATCTAACAAAGCAAATCCATATGATTTAGAGGGGGGAGTGATAATCTTGCCAAACTCAAAAAAACGAATAGAAAGCTAAAACGGATGTCAGATGAGCATTAATGTGATGATACCTGAAACCTGCACGGAAGCCGCCTGACCAATCTTGTTTGTAACACATCAGTCGTCCATGGAGGTCATTCTTGATTCCACGAAAAGGCACAAATGTCTCTTCCATTAAGCAAGTTTAACAACTTACTCCAGCAGATTTGAAGTTCCTTATCGGAATGGATCTTCAAGATTTACGGGAAAGCCATTTTCTTTATTAGGAAAAAAACTCAAGAAATTACTTGGACATTTTGATAGTAACGGGGTATGGACAGAATGTGGGAGAAGTTAAGGATGGAGAAGGAGAAACATGATGAAGTAATGGGAATTAAGAATTGTGGGTTTTGGAAGAATATGCAAATCTGAGATGCGGGTTCAAGAATTGAAATGAATAAGGGGAGATGCAAAGGAGGGCAATTTATAAAGGGAGGAATCAGGAAGCAGTGATCGAAGAAAGGGACAAATCGAAGAAAGTAGATGGGACTGGGTAGAAATGGTGGTCAAAGGGAAAACAGAAGAAAAGAACATCCACTGGTAAATGACAGCAGCAGTAGTAGTATCATGGGTATTTATTTTACAGGAGACTGAAACGGGGAAAGCAGCTTAAAGATTTGGGAAAGACAGGGTACACGGCTACAGGCTACAGCTAGCTGGCTCCATCATTCATTAATTTAACAGTATATCATTATTTTAATGACTCCATTGCACTTGCCAGTTATCTTCAAATCATTTGCTACTTGTCTGTATGTATGTATGTTCACATACACACCCCATGGCCGTATATGGACTTAAGCTTCCTCCAGAAATGTCAACTGTTTAAGTTGGTCTGTCAGACGAAATTCTCAATGTTGAAGATGCATACTATGTAATGTAATAGAAAGGGATGATGGCTTACCCATTTCCTTCTCTCTCTTTTTTGTTTGTAATTTAATGGCAGGAATTTATGTATAAAATATGGTTTTGTGAATGAATGGTGCGTAGTTGCCAGTTGGTGATAAAGGGAAGCAATGTTTACGTAACAAATAAGTAAATGTGAAAGAAAGTATTTTGTCTATAATATCATATAATATGCATGCTAATGCTAATGCTATTGTTATTGTGTTGTGGCTTCAATTCCCATGTGAAGACAGATAACAATCTGGTGACAATAATTATGTTTTTTTATTCATATTTATATATAAATATTTCTAATTAATTCATGTCTTAAGAAATGAATACAAAATAATATTCTAAACCTAAATAATCTATTTTAATTACATATTCTTCTTTTAGTTTAATTTTATGATTAATAACATGTCAAGTTCAGTGCATATAATTATACACTTGACACTAAGCTACCACCACCAATAAATCAAGGAAAAGTATAAAAAAAAATTCAATTGATTTTAGTGTTTGAAATGATTAAGTTATTGGATAATTTTTTAGAACAAATAAGTTTTTGGACATTCCAAAACCTGTTAAACAACTCTTTGGACTTTCTAAAATCTGTTACATACATTCTTATGACCTATAAAACTAATTAACGAGGTAAAATAATGGAAAAAATGAAAAAAAGCCAATGAACATTCATATTTTGAGTGATAATGTCCCTAAATTTTTTTTGAACCAAAAAAAAAATACTTACATTATATAAAATAAAACAAATATAACAAAAAAGTATTTATATTTAAAAATTATTATTGATGAAATTTATTTTAATTAAAAATAAAAAATATTATGTCAGTATTTTAAATTTAAAAAAATGATTTAAAAAGGATTATTGCTTATATTTATTTTTAATTAAAATATTTAAAAAGATTTAAAAAATCTATTTTATTTTTAGTTAAAATAAATTTTATCAATAATTTTTTAAATATTTTTTTATTTTAAAAATCACATACGTAATATATATTATTTTTAATTAAAATAAATTTGATCAGCAATTTTAAAAAAAAATTAGTTTGAAAAATCACTGATATAATATATTTTAATTTTAATCAAAATAAATTTTATCAAAAATCTTTTTTAAATGTAAGTATTTTTTTTGTAAATGTAAGTACTTTTTTGTTATATTTGTTTAATTGTATAAATTTAAATACTTTTTGGTTCAAAAAATGTTTAAAGACTTTTTTCAAAATATGAATGTTCATTGAGGTTTTTTCGGATTTTTTTTATTATTTTATCACATTAACCAGTTTTATAGGTCATAGGAATGTATGTAACATGTTTTAGAAAGTTTAAGGAGTTATTTAACATGTTTTTGAATGTCTAAAAACTTATTTGTTTCAAAAAATTATCCAATGACTTATTTGTTCCAAAAAATTATCCAGAAACTTAATTATTCTAAACACTAAAGTTTATTGTATTTTTTTAGACTTTTCTCATAAATCACATCATAATCCTTCCTCTACTTTGTTTCTTCTCCAATTTGCTTGTACTTACCAAATCCAGAGTTGACTTCACTATTCAAAGTATATATTGCCATCATCATCACCATGCATTGTTTATGGGAAATTTATTAAAATAACTATTCAATACAACTATTTGTCATAAAATAACTAGGTTTTAAAGGTTTTGCGTTTTTGACCATTCGGATTGCCCTCGGAGACGACCTGTACATGTGGTGTTGGGGGGGTGGGATCCCCCTTAAATTCTTTAAAAAAATTAATTTTTTTTGCCTAAAAAAACGAGATTACTGTTCACCTCGAAGACCGGGTTTGACCTCGCCTTAGGGGGCAATCCAGCCTGTCCCATCGCCCCCAGGGGAGATCCAGCCTTTTATTATTTTTTTATTTTTTTTGTTTTGTGGTCTTTTTAATAAAACTGATACGCCATTTAAGTTGTATTTTTTAACTTTTTTAGAACCAAATTTCATGGGTAAAGATTTAAAACTAAACCATTATAATTATGACGACACAAAAATTATTTTTATCTGATTTGGGTTTCCTAAATCAGATACAATATCTGATTTACGAAATTTGACATCTATTTCGTCATTTTGTGTTTTCTATTTAACAATTAAGGGGTGTTTTAAATACAAATGAAAAAATACATAAATTGTGTCTTTTTACGTATTTAATTTTAAGGTTGAAGCCTATAAAAACCATCTATCAAATAGAGGTTTTCCTTTTGAAGAAATAGTTCATCTTTAAAAGAATATTTTTTTTATTTTTTTCAACGTCGATTAAGGGGTGTTTTTAATAAAAACGAGACGATATTTAAACTGTTTTTTACCCTTGTAGATTCAAATGTCATGGTTTTATTATATATAATTTTTTAATTTGAATAATTATTGAGTTCTAACCGAATCCTTAGTTATTATCTTTATTAAAAATATTTAATCAAACTTAAATTAATTTTTTTTGTTACTAAACCTAAATTGTTATAATTAAAAAAAATTAGGGAATTTTTTTAGGAAAATTAAGAAAATTACACTAAAACACAAGAACATTTAAAAAGATTAATACGAAATAGCGGTCAAACTTCGTAAATAAGATATAGTATCTGATTTACATCCCCCAAATAAGATAAAATTAATTTTTGCATATCCACAATTATCATGGTCTTATTTAAAAACCTATAATCATGAAATTTGGTCCTAAAAATGAAAAAAAAAACAGTTTAAATAGCGTTTCATTTTTATTAAAAACACCTCAAAAGAAAAAAAAAACATTTTGGGACGGATCGCCACGGGGGGCGATTGGATGCCTGGATCGCCCCCGGGTAGATCCACGCAAATCGAGGTCTATACCCTCTTGTACCTTAAAGTGAAGTATGTGGGACCCACCAAAAAATAAATTTTTATATTATTTTTTGTACTTTTTTGTACTCTTTTAAAAGGGAGTCAACTAATCCCAGGGCGACCACATACTTTGCAGGTAGTCCAGAATCACCGCATTTGAATCTCTGTGGCCACAAGAGAATTTTTATTCCTCCTTAGATTTGAACTTGAGACTTTCAGATACTTTGACTTTTGGAGCCCAAGCTCAAACCAATCAAGTACCATACTTGTGGTTATCATCATGCATATTTATGATCATAAATACTCAAAGAAATTCTTTATAATTAAAATGTATACGATTTAGTTGGAAGCAACACATCCATATTTTATGGATCTAAATCTATGAAGAACATACCACCCAAAAAAGAACAAGTGCACTCCACAAATAAGATTCCTTTTTTCAAAAATTAATTAAAAGTTCACTTCTTTTGGAAGGAACAAGTAGTATAACTTCAAAAGCAATTCAATACAAATTCTTTTTTAAAGCATATATATATATATATATATATAATTCATGTTGTTGATACATGAATCATGCTTTTTTCATTCATTAAAGGAATTTAATCGGTTTGATATTAACATAAAGAAAATGAAAACGACTAAAAACATGATAACATTGTCATGCTTTAATTTCGATGTCAGATTAAGCACCAACTTTCTTTTATTGCTTTGTCCGTTTTTTATTGTTGCTTGTTGTATTCAAATGATTTTGTCTAGCACCATATATATATAATTTTGGTTTTGGTTCCTCTTTTAATGATCCGTCTCTAACAATATGATCATTAGTCACATCTATCGATTCGTATTACATTATTACATAATTTTTTTTTATTTAAGAACTGATAAATTGGTCAATTATTTTCTTTAATTTAATTTAGTGTTTTGTATTATCTATAAACAATTTACAATCACTTAAAACAAATTTTTTTAATAAGACATGCATATGATTATGATGATGACAATATATATGTTTGAAATAATTAAAGAGGTGAATCGTGAACCACCAATTAATTGGAATGCATGCATCATTGAAGCTCTAGAAGTGGAACCCACCGCCAATCATACCTTTAATTTCTTTCTATTTAAATCATAAAGAAAATCATAAAGAGGTGACGATGGGGTGTCTCATCTGAGAAAGAGGCGATGCTTTAAATAAGGGGTAGGGGTGTTATTTTTGTGGCTGAATGAAGACAACACATCATTTCTATCTATGCGATTTAGTCATGTTTTGTGCGAATAAACCTTAAGTAAACAACCCAAATGAACTGTATGAATAAGTCAGATAGACCAATAAACCTAATTAAGTCGTAGATAAACAGCGCTTAAATCTTCAAATAGTTGGTGATAATGGTTATCGTCCTTGGGGCATTTATATCAAAATTTAGGTTACAGTTTCAAAGTTTTGACCAAAGTTGGAGTTTACTCTCTATTATTAATTATTATCGTGGAACATGGATAGTCAACTGCAAATTGTTTTTGCTACCAAATCGAGATTTTAAAATATTTTTTTCAAATTAATGTTACTAAAAATATCTTAACCATTAATAAAACACTAGCAATTTATTATATATATAGAAACTAACCATATGGTACAAATTAAGCTAACCAACCTTAACCAATCACATTTTTTATTCACTTTAGGTTCAAATCTAAATTATAAATTAATGATAAAGGTAATTTTGTAATTTAACCTTTTTGTAACACCCTAATAATTAATTGGGAGTTACAAATCTTAAAAGATACHTCTAATTGATCATGAGATTTTTCTGATTTCTTTATTATTTCATGTTCATGTTCTTCTTTTCAAGTTATGTTCTACATATATTGAAATTGGTTGTCTAAGTGTAMAARATTTTYRTTTCRTCCAAGATACATGGAGAATCCTATTGTAAAAGAATATCAGAATAATGAAAATGATAAACGCTTGCAGTCTATGTTCATATCTGCACACATGCACAACAATCCTTGATTTTGAAAATGTTCATATATGTGCATCTCTTGCAGTCTATGTTCATATATGTTCACCATATGAACAACTTGTTTTCATTGAAAGACACAATCGTTRTTCAYACGAACCCGTGACGATGTCATACGGTATGACATTGAAAAACATCACACCATATGAACATCAGAACATAGTGTTTACATTGTAAGACATAGATGATGTTCACACGAACATGGGGCCGACATGTGAACATATATGAACATATGAACATAATGTTTACATTGCAAGACACGGATGCTGTTCACACGAGCATAGGGAAGACATGTGAACATGAGTTGTGAATATGTTCATAATCGATCGTAGGTTACAAATCGGCTGGAGAATATCGGGTTCACGATGCGTGAGAATTTATTACCAAAATACSCTGTGAACAATTGTTCATAAGCAGCCCAATTAATTTAATGATTAATTGATTATTTTTTAATACTCATTTAATAATGACCGTTTCACCAATTTACCCTTTGAACAATTGTTCATACACATATCAAATAATACATTAATTAAATTATTGTTTATTTAATCTCATTTAATAATAACCGTTTGATGATAAATTAAACGATCAAGATCGGTTCACATAGTTTGTACCATATGGTTGGTTTCTATTTGAACCTGGGAAATGTCGGGTTGTTTTAGATGTTGTTTCCCACCATTGTTTTGCGGGGAGCAAAGATACAGTTCTATCAAAGCAAAAAGTCTTGTAAGTAACAGGCTTATTCTTACTGATCGGGCTTAACTCTCTATCTGAGATTTTAATTAAATATTTCCACCCCCCCCCACCCCACCCAGACCCCCCCAGGAGGCACAACTTGCTTGTTGTTGTTTATCGCCAGGAAGAAGTTCAATCCACGGGTAAGACCTTCTTCCGGGCTTGTTGTTGTTTATCTAACTACAGGGCATCCAGAAAGGCAACACTACACTAGGGATATTCGTGCTCCTCCCCGAGAAGCACTCTCTGTTATGTTGTTCGCTCATCGTGGAGGTAGTGGTCCCACAATAAGCACGCCAATCGAACGACGTGGCTCCATACCCTGTAGCTTAGGTAAGGCGGAGGATTAATTTTAATTAACTTCCGCTTTACCTACAGGGGAGGTGAACTGAGTGAGAGAAGGCCCTCACCTTTTATCCTGTATGGGTTTGTGTTCAGTCCGGACTATAACGATATATTGTATGTATATATATATATATACACACACACACACTAGAAGGGTATTCGCGCAATGCAGCGAGATACATTTTGATTTTAATATTTTATTTTATTCTTTATTTCAGTCGATGTTATAGTATGGTCTTATATGATTTTTGAATAAAATATAAACTTGAAGATATCATAAAATTTTGACAAAAATATATCGATATTAGTATTAAATTAACTATTTAAAATTCTGATTTTTTGTGTAATTTTTTACTTCAATTTTTTTTATTATAATTTAACTTAGGTTCAATAACGAAGTAATTTATATTTTAAAATGAGATGTTTATCCTCTATTTGATTATGTTTATCTGCAGTTAGTTACACAAATTCAAACATGAAGCTTTAATAAGTTGTACTTATGTATAATTTACTTGTAATCTTGAATTTTAAGTAATATGCATCAATATACAATACTTGATGCATAAAAAATGATTTTTAAGAGTTTTTGTCAACTGCTTTATAATATAGTATAGATAAGAAAGTTACTTAATAACAATTTTTTTAAACTATAAATATCTTTTTTTAGTTTACCTTATTTTTTCCCCAAATCTCAATTTTAATTTTTTATTTTATTATTTGTCTCTGTCGAGATAATAATACGATTTTATTTGTTTTTAAGAAAACAATAATGATTTTATTTTTGAATAAAATATAAATTTGAAGATATCATAAATTTTTTTTAAAAAATATATCAATGTTAATATCAAATCAACTATTAAAAGTTCTCATTTTTTATGTAATTTCTTTAATTTATTTTTTTATTATAATTTAATTTAAGTTTAATAACGAAATAATTTATTTTTGGTTTAATAATATAACAGTTTATAAATATAATAATTAAGTATTCTGTTAGAACTAAATCATTATCCTAATTATATTTTAGATTTTTTATATTTAAAATGAGATGTTTATCCTGTATTTGATTATGTTTATCTGCAGTTAGTTATACGAATTCATATATAGAGCTTTAATAAATTGTACTTACGTACGGTCTACTTGTAATCTTGAGTTTTAAGTAACATGCATTAATAAACAGTACTTTATGCATAAAAATGATTTTTAAGAGTTTTTGTCAAATGCTTTATAATATAATATAAATAATATATATATATATATGTTCACACCCATGCTCAAGATTCAAATAATTAAAGTCTTTTAAATTGTCGTTTGTGATCAATATTATGTTCAACACATGTCAAAAATCACACCCAAAGGATAAGTAAGAATAGTTTTTCCCATTAAAACTAATTAGATGCCAAAAATCATACCCAAAGGATAATTATATAGCTAGGGTAACATTTTGTACTGAAAGAACTAAGAAACCCTCGTTAAACTCGATCTTTTTGTTACGAGCACATCGACTAGCTCCAACTTCGACATTGATTTTGACACGGAAAAAGACTGAATATCCAAAAAGCTCAAAGCAAGACAATTGTCGCTCTTTTAGTTATCTTTGCACAAGCTTTGAATCGTCTTCACGGGTGCTACGATGAGAGAGACATTAACATAATATTGGATAAAGGTAAAACTATCCATCAACCTCCTTTCCGTTTTTCTTTATTTCGTTCCATTACCTGAATGCGTCTAATGTTTAACCATATACTTATGTTGCATTGTTTTCATGTCAAATATCTTATTACATGCACTTGGTTGAATATATAATACAAATCAATAGCATATATATAGATATAGATATAGATTTGGGATCACGTGAGACCAATCTGTTTTCATAAGATTTATGAGACCATTTTTTTACATTGTGAAGGTAATCTTCACAATGTTTTTGCTATGAAGGTTCATTTTTTTTTTACCTTCACAGCATTTTGCTGTAACGTTTCAAATATAAAAAAATGGTCGCGTTATCTTACTTTGTTTATAAAATCTTTAAGCTTGAATGATATGATTATATAGTATTTTACTTAAAAAATTTCAAATCCATTGGGCTGTAAGCCCGTTAGTCATAAAAGTTGGTAAAGCCCATACAATTGCAGAAACCGCCTCAGCTCACCCAATGCCCAATGCCCAATTGGGAAGTTATAAACATACATTATCATTTATCCCGCAAAACCCTAGTCCTCTTATTCGCAGCCGTGAAAAAGGAAATGGTGTCGCTCAAGCTACAGAAGAGGCTCGCCGCCAGCGTCCTCAAGTGCGGTAGGGGCAAGGTTTGGCTCGATCCCAATGAAGGCAATGAGATCTCCATGGCCAACTCCCGTAAGCTTCTTCCTCTTTGTTCTACGATTATCTGTATTTTTTATGACACCGTTCATAGATAAAATTTTGTTGCAAACCATCTTTTTTCTTCATTCTGGTCTATCGTGCAGTGTATTGAGATGATTTTTACTGATTGAATATTCATCTCGGCATGCTAGATTACCTATTAGGTAGGTGTGATGATACTGGCTGTATGATCGTCTGTTTTTTTTACTGTGGCAGTTCTTTTTTAGTGGCTTTCTAATGTCTTGTATGAGGACCCTTTCATATTGAAAGCAAGGTTTCGTAATCTTTTTTAAAATTGGCATTCATGTTCATAAAATTTGATTCCTAAAATATCCAGGAGTGCAACCTATTGAAAGATGTAACGAAATTCGTTTGTAATCTAAAATCAAGCACATGTTGGACAATGTCAATATGATTAATAGTTTAATACCTTCACTGTATTCCTTGAAACCAGTTTGTGGTTTCCTATATTTGCTTCTTTTAGACCACGGTTGGTTCTTGAACTTTTTTATGCTAAATATATTCATGAGCTTTTTAATGCTTATAATGCTCACTTTCAGTTGTTTTCTTTGTTGCTTCATGATTGCAGGTCAGAACATCAGGAAGTTGGTCAAGGATGGATTTATCATCAGGAAGCCAACCAAGATTCACTCACGCTCTCGTGCTCGGCGCATGAAGGAGGCTAAGAGAAAGGGCCGTCATTCTGGATATGGTATTTTCTAGTTTGTCCATTTGGATTCTTGCATGCAGTAATTTTATTCCGAGATCAGTTAATTCTTGTATGCCACAAATGGAACAAACTATTTTTGCATGTGGTCTACATTGTCATTCTATAAATGCTAAATCTAGTTGCAAGTTTAGGTGCAATGTGGACCCAAGGCCTCTAGGTGGCAAGCTTAATCTAGTCAAATGATTTGTTTTTGCTTGCTTCTTGCTATTGCCTATTGTGAATTTTCTTGTTTTTTGAGAAATTTATTTGTTAATGTCATCAATGGAATGATGTTCAGGTAAACGTAAGGGTACCAGGGAGGCAAGGTTGCCAACTAAGATTCTATGGATGAGAAGAATGAGGGTGCTGAGGCGGTTGCTTCGTAAGTACCGAGAGTCAAAGAAGATTGACAAGCATATGTATCATGATATGTACATGAAGGTTAAAGGTAATGTTTTCAAGAACAAGCGTGTGTTGATGGAGAGCATTCACAAATCAAAGGCTGAGAAGGCCAGAGAGAAGACCTTATCTGATCAGTTTGAGGCCAAGCGTGCCAAGAACAAGGCAAGCAGGGAAAGGAAGTTGGCTCGAAGAGAAGAACGCTTGGCCCAGGTATGGAATCATCATCTGCTATAGTTCCAATTTGTAGTTGTTATTTCTTACGTCTCAAGTCTTTTTTGACACCCCCTTCCCTTTTTGTTTCAGGGTCCACAGGAGAGAGCCCCGGCAGCCCCAGCGGCAACGCCTGCTGCACAACCTGCACAGTGAGTGTTGATGAGATTTTGCTCTTTATTTGTTTGGATGAATTTTATAGTTAATGAAAATGTCTATTCCTTTTCAGGGCATCAAAGAAATCCAAGAAATGAGGCTCTTCCCAATATGTTGGATGGTTTTATGGTTTATTTTAGTTATCTGTTCGTCTTTATTTCATTTTGTTTGGGGATATATTTCTTATTTAGAAGGAGATTTACACTCTTGATACAATGAATTTTGCTTGCTTATTCTATTTTGCTTTGTTGTATTCTCTTTTTCATATATTTGCCAATCGGGTGAGATTACCAACCAGCATTTGCTTTCAATTTAATTGCAACAACTTGTTTGAAATTCTGGGTTCCTGTTTGGTTTTGTTGGGAGGGAACAAATGACAAAGCACATCGAATAAAGACGGTGTATCTAAAACTACATGGGTGCTGTCTGGGAAGAATGTCCCTCTAAAACAAAAGGGATGTTTATCAAATGCTTATGGTAAGCACGACCAAGAATCTTGTCCAGAGTTGATGCTTAGAAACAATTCATGAGAATGTTATATGATAAGGTAAGTTAGGGTACAATTCATTTTGATGCTTGGTAATCTTATCCGTTAAGGTAAGTTGGGTTAGGAATAACGCGTGTTGATGGTCAAGAATGCTTATCTAAGATGCTCAACCACAATTCATATTAATGGTCGAGATTGTCATCCGATAAGGTAAGTTAGGGTATAGGGTACAATGCATTTTGATGGTCAAGAATGTTATCCAATAAGGTACTAACTCATGTTGGTAAATGGTTACCCAATAAGTTTTTGGTAAAAGGCCTCTAAATGACAAATTCTATATGGTCGTCTTCAGATCAATTATGTTGTATGGAGTAGAGTGTTGAGCGACAAAGGATGCCAAATGAGAGGAAGTTGGAAGTTGCAAAAACGAGGGTACTTGCCTTGCACTCGAGCAGTTGACATTCCCTCCAAGTTGAATGTTCGGGATTCTCTTTCTAACGGCCCTTCCTTGGAAAGATTGTACTGTGTCATACCACTTTCTCTTCCGAGCTGCGTGATCATGATTTCACAGATTGAAAGTCTGTCGATGATTTATGCATCTTCTTTACTGTTTGATTATCCCAAAGCCAAATTCCAATTTTAAGAAAGATGGCCTTTTCAGATACAAACCCCTTTCAACATGATATTTGAAAATAATCATAAAATGGCTCCACAGATGGAAGGAGAATAGTTGCAAATTTTTAGTTTTATATGTACCACCCCACCCAAACAAGAGAATAAAAACAATTCTAATTTACATATCAAACTCAAAGACCATAAATTTATCATAATTAAAATTTAGAAGGGTACTGGTTTTCTGTTTAATGGCTGGGTGCCAATAAACATAGAAAAAGGCCTGTATTGTATTTAAAGTATCTGCTATATTATATAACTCTTTGTAGTTTGTACCACCAATTCCAAACAATGCTAGCTATGTTGCCAATAATAGTGTGGTTCATCTTCACAATGTGTGAAGATGAAGATGAAAAGAGAATCAAGTAACAAGAAGTCGGTGAATCATCTCGAAGCTGGTAAATGTTATAACAGCAGCCGGAGTAGTCCTGAGCAGATTCGTAGCACAGCCACGGTAAAAACCAGGGAGGCCCTCTTGTTGAAACACTTTCTTTATGCAATCCACCATTCCAGAGTATCTCTTTTCAGAATGGTGTCCTTGTTCTTGAAGCCTCGACCGAACCACCTGTTAATTGTATTTTAAATAAGCACTTGTGCTAACAGAAACCACTCGACGATGGTTGCAGGGAATACTTGATCATGATAAACAGAAGAAAGGTGATATACACTCCAAATGCCATAAAAGCATGATCCTACCTCATGTGGATACGTCAGAGTGGATGCAAATACTTTAGAAACCGAAGAGGCAACAGCAACATCACGTGCACCCAATTGATCCATCTCTATATTCTCTGTGTCATCATCAGTGAATCAACAATGTTTAGATTTCAGATTATACGGAAAACTTGACAACACAGGCAATGTTTTTTAGTATTTTTTTTTATCATCATACCTCTACTAGCTAAATAGCTTTTGATCTTCTCATATGCTGGAAATTGGATTGCGACATGACTGATACCGGCCATTGCAGGTACAAGACCACTGTCCATGAAACAGAAATCCAAAGATGCAACTATGAAAATCAGTGTGATAAATAACAAAACTGGTGGGAGTTTTAATGTGCATGAAGAGGGTTAGCAACCTGTATAAACCACGAATACCCTCTTCGTGAGCAATTCTCCTCAAAGCTGAAAGTGTACCCCGATATGGCATTAGGCCTGTCCTCATTCCTTGAGTCTGAGAAAGGACAAGAATTCTGTAATCATTTCAAACTTGAACAAGCTTAAATCATCTGGTACAATTTATCTGAAGCAATATATATATATATATTGCATGCCATATGGGATCATTTGCATAGCAGCAGCGACACCAAGTCACTGATCAATAACACCAACTAGACAATTGAAAAGAACATGAGTTCTTTCAACTTCATGATGTGAATAAGATCAATAGCATCCACACAATGTAGATGATATTCCAAGTTGGTGTTATTCACCGCTTAACAATTAACATGGTCATAAATTGACATATTTCTACGTATTACACATGCTATCTCTCCATATACAAAAACCAAAGTTGAGAATTTTATGAATCCAAGAATCCACCTAACGGGGCAAAATGCCAGTATGTTTTGACTGAGTATTGCTTTAGAGAGAGCTGGAAATTTTCAATCTAACAAAAGGAAGAAAAAATAACACTTCCTTTATTATGAATCTATGATTTTCATACTAATTATCGTGAGAAGGGTTTAATCATAATACATACTTGTAGCCTTGTCTTAACAACCCACAAAGGATTCGTTACAATTGTTGTTGCAACTCCAGCCCCTGAAGCAGCTATCATATTGGCGCCAAAAGGTAGCTGATGATTTCCATCTATAGGTGCACCATATATCAACATACATGGAAAAAAACACTATCAATAAATAGAAAAGCTTAAACATATACTATTTAAAAGAGATGCAAGAAGTAATAAGTTGAAATCTAACCAGAGCTAAGTGAACCTTTCAGCTGGTCATATATAGTAAAATACACCTGCAGAAGTTAAAAATTATCAACTTTTGAGTAATTCAACTTCATAAATCTCTTGGCAAGAAGGCCAGGAGGACCTCTAACTAACATGAAAACCAAAAAGTGAAACCTCATGCATACACCCGACCATTTAAACATATGAACCTTATGATCAAACTGATGAGCAATAAGTTATAGATAAAACCTCAATTACGTATACTTTTTACTTCCTAATATGTCACGACCAAACCGAGACTAAGACCTTGATAGAGACTGAACTTTCAAGGATATAAATTGATTAGACATTTGCTTTCCACTGTAGTTGGAGTGGGACTCTGGGTGGGAAAAATGAAAGAAGAAACCTGGTGGGCGGTTCATGCAACTTGTTACAAATCTCTATCAGTAAATTCCAACACTGTTTCATTTTCAAATCTTCAAAATTATTGTTTCATATGGTATAGGTTTAGAAGGGGATGAGTTGCAAATAAATTAATAAAATTCCACCAGTAGACACATTTATGTGGAGCCCAAACTCGTAATTTGGTGTACCAAAGGGATTTTACTATCAAGCTCCTTGCCAAACCCTGGAGCCCTGAAGAGCAAGGCAGCAAATCCCCTACATCTGCCTCATTCAAGAGAGTGACAAGGACAAGCTAAAGAACAAAATATACTGTATCCTGAAGCATCTAGATCAAGCTGCCTGCATATGAAGACCAAACCCATGGAGTACACACTCTCATAGAAAAGTCTATGGACAGCTAGGTCAGCTTCCAAGCCAGGTGTCTCCGTTAGATGGCCCCACTAACACCACTACATGTAGCTTTTCAAGAAGCTTACTAAGTGCTCGAGGACCAAGCAGGCTGTTGGCCCACTGACATAGGTGCATCTTTATAACCCTTAGGTTGAGTTCAATATCTTTAAGGATGCATTTTGTGCATAGATGGGACTCGACGGGCGAGAATGAGTTAGGCAGAATGAAAGAATTGTAGAAGGTTATAGTGTTCTAATTTGACATGGGTAGTTTGGCAATTTACCAATCTTGTCCCATTTGTTCCACCTATCCTGTCTTAATGTTGCACCAAACGTGGGACAACAAGTTTTTGTCCCGTTCTATCCCATCCTGTCCGGCGTGCCAAATGCAGCTCAAGAAGACATCAATATATCGACTGTTCCAAAAGAGAAAAACACCAAAGTGCTGGAAGGCATGCTGGCAGCCTAGTCAAATTGGCTGTTGGGTGCAATGGCCACGGCCCAACTAGTCGTTGCCCAATGCTAGGTTGTAGATGCTCCAACCATGGGTGTTCACTGGGCCTACAAGCTTTAGAACAAAAAACCCTCTTGTGAGAAAACTCTACTTTCATGTTGGCTTCCTTAAGTTTTTGGTTGGTAACGGAGGAATTCTGTCCATAGGGAAGTCAGTGAACCCCCATTGCAAGGAGTTCTATGGAACTAAGTAGTGGTTTATTTGAAGTTTCCAACAAGCACCCAAGCTGTTCTTCAAATTTTCTTCAAAGTGCCTTCAAGTAAGTTCTTCTAACTTCAAAAATTATTCTACTAAAGCAGAAGATATGGAAGGGGGAGCAGAGGGGAACAAGGCTTGATTAGAGTTGGAATAAATGACAATAATATTTAATGTCATTCGAGTTGATCTTATTATATAAGCTATAACCAAAATATATATATAAATTAACTGATTGTAAAATAATGGATTTTAACGATATATTATTTCAACTATGATTAGAGGCAAACATATTGATTTCAGTTGCAGAATGAAAAATTTAGGCGTTACAAACAAATTCGGTTGAGAAATCGACGGTAAAATTCAATTCACACAAGCTTGTGTTGCCTCTTTAGAACCTTTGTAGAGGGTAGAGGATAGTCTAGACAGATGAAACGTCATAGTTAGATAACTCAAATACTAGCCAGAGTAATAAGTATGCAACAAGATTAACTCATTAAACCAATTATAGTCTTATCTGCCAGCATAAGACTCTGGTGTGGTCGTCTAACCAAACAGGAGAAAATAAACCCTTACAGAATAAGCATGAGATGGATTATTCTGGTGAAAGGAAAAACAATCTCACCGCCCAGTTTGGAAGCAAGGCAAGAATAGTGGGAGAAAGCCCACGATACATGCCACGAATGCCTTCCTTCCGGATAATCTGTTCCAGGCTCCCAACTATTAGACTACCTGGTTAATAAAATAAACAAAGAGAAAGTCGAAGTCAGAAACTTTGGGTGGATCAAATAACCAAGGCCACAAGCTACAGCTATTAACTTGGTACAATAGACAAGAATAGCAGCACTTATGAGATGAACTTCCTTCAAGCATGTCTTCAACTACTGATCACAATGACTTAACTTATGCACAAATAGTTTGCATACCTCTAATACTTCCACCATTAAGATGCGGTAGACCGTGAACCTGAAACCTGGTCTTGATCACATCTAAAGGACATACAAATGTGGCTGCAAGAACTCCTGCATATATTGCAAGAGTATAGAAGAAATACATAATGATATCAATGGTGAATAATAATAATATAGCACAAGTAATACATGGAATCAAACAGTACAGAAAAAACAAATGCAAAACGAAAGAGTCTTTTTTTTTATAAAGAATCTTGGTATGTAAGGAGAGAAGATCAAAACCAGACCAGCGACAGCGCCGGCGGTGGCATTGCAGAGCATGCAGGATGAAGCAGGGGGTTGATTATCTGCGGTCATTGGTGAAAGTGGTCTGCAAAGATTGATTAATAAGAAGGAAGAAGTCCTCTCTGGAGAGGGCGATCCCGGAGAACCAAGGTCGCATGGCCAAGAAAATAGAAGTGGAGTTGAATACAGATCGCTTGATGCGGAAAGATAAGGGTTTAGGGATTAAAAGAAATGAAGAAGATGATGATGATGAACATTGGATTGGATTGGAGGTGGTTTTTGGATCGATGAAATCGAGAAGATTATTATGCGGTTTGGGGAAGAGATTAGACGGATGAGTTCTTGCCCCACCTACCCGACCCGACCCGACATGACCATTTCTTTATTATTTTGTCCCTTGCTAACATCTTGGGCTACTTTAGCCAGACCTCCATTCCAAACATTGGACTTATATTACAAATATTATTTGTGTTTTTTTCTGCATAATCCAAAGATTTAACCTTTAACAAAATAAAAGTTTATACCAAGAAAACACATGATCAATTGATTAGCTTCATAATAAAATCAAGAAAGTTATGACAATCTAAAGATTTGATGGGTTGGGGGCTGCCTTCTTCTTTTTGGGAAAAAGGGTGGGGGCTGCCTTCCTCTTTTTGTTGTCTAAGGGAATAGGGTGTTGTGACGAGCGAGGATACCATACCGGTATCCTGGAAAACCTTATCCCTACTTTTCTTCTTCTCTAAATTCCACCGGCGATAGAGGTTCGTTCGTTATGACACTCCAATTCCATACATATATCTCTATTCTGTTTTCAATTTCATCTTCAGTATCTATGACTGCTTATGTGATTTTGTTTTTCTCTTCTCTGAGATTGCATTTGCTTGTGTTTTTGTGGCATGCTTCTGCTTCTGCTTCTGCTGCAGGTGTTTGTTTTTAATTGTATAAATTTGTTTATGTAATGCACCATGAACGATATGTTACAAAAACAGTATGACCCACCATCTTTTTTCTAAGCTTCGTCTTGTAGACCCACTTGTCACCAATGCTTTGCATCACAACTCCAAGATTGTGTTGAGGATGACGAGTGAAATTATGTATTACTTACCCTTAAAATCAAGTACTACTTTTTAGTTTATAGAATAAAAGACAGAAAAGATACCACTAACTAAGACCAACAATTCGCTAGGTAATTGCTATTGGAAGATCAATTAGCTTTTAAGTATCACTCGTTTAATTGGCTTGAAGTTATATAGCATTTTCAAAACTTGTTCTATCACAATCTGCATATACTGCTAATTGGGTAACTGCATCACCATTGGTGCTTACCTCATATATTAGCATCCATGAATACAGAGCCTTGCTTGAGTTGTTGCACTAGTTTCTTGCAAAATGGGGCATTGGAGCTATTTCTTCAACTTCATCATCATGTTGATTTTACTAGGCAATTACTTATCCTAATCCCTTGTGTTTTTTCCATCAAATACAACCTGTCTTGGTCACAACTTCTTTGTACGCCTTGGATGCTTCATCAATGCCAAAAAGGACCCATTTTTTTTACCATTATCGTCAAGCATCTTCCTTTCTCATTTCAGGGTATGTCATTCCAAACATCCTCAACCGTCACGTCTGAAGAGAAACGAGACTTCTATTCAAGAGGTTGATGCTTCAATTGGCTGCTTCTAGCCAAAACTTATATGGAACTCTTCCTCTAGCCAAAACTTATATGGAACTCTTCCTCTAGCCAACTTGCTACTAACCATATTGAGAATGCTTCTATTTTCTTTCTTTGATACACTGTTTTGTTGCAATGCAAATGGTTGTGAGATCTCTTCAAATGCCTTAGAGCAATATTCGTCACCATGATCAGTTTCAAGGGTCTTAATAGTCTTTCCTGTTTCATCCTCAACACAAGCCTTGAAGCTTTTAAATCCATTAAACGTCTATGTTTTTCACATAAACGATGGACCCAAGCTATTGGATGAAAATTGTCAAAATAAGGTATAAATATATCTTTTTACTTTGTTAGAAATTGGTCTCGTTGGCTCATAAATATTAGATTGAACCAACTCCAGAACCTCCTTTGTCCTCCATGACTTCCTGTAGGAAATTCAGAGTGAGGTTGTTTGCCAACATCACCATCACAAACTTGGGAAGGAGCAACAACTACAGGAAGACCGATCACCATATTCTTCTTTTGGAGGATCTTCAAACACCAAAGCTCAAGTGGTTATATCAAAAACGCTACTGCAACGAAGAATCTTTCACTCCCGTAATCACACAAGATTTCAGTCTTCAATGGAAACATTGTGTTTGGGCTCACATTAACAACTCCTCTAGTAGGGTTATAAATCTCACAAGCATAATCTCAAATAGTGATAGCATAACCGTTCTTGGTTCTACTGCTAACCCTAGCCTTTCCCATAAAATTTACGTTGGAGCAATTGCCAAAATTAACTAATAGTGGAAGTCTTCATTTAATTAATAAAAGGAAGACTCTCTTTCACTCACGTGCTTTTTGTAAACCATATTCATGCATTAAACATCTTGCTCAGGTGTCTTTTTAGTATAAACTGCCATTAGCAGGTCTCTCCTTGTTGTGAACAAAATGTGTTCACTCTTGTCATCAAGCAACATAGCATGACATTATGACCACACTTTTGGCCTATGCTGTTAATTGCGGCACTATTGCAGATTGCGGGCTAAGCTAAAATTGCGGTGGTCAAACTGCATTTCCGATATTAGCAGCGCAATTGACCGATATTTGAGGAGAAATTGCAGACCGATATTCCGATATTTTTGCTTGGGCCTCTTTAGAACTATGTTGACTCGGATGCCGAACCTGTTGCTTGCGATTAGCTCATTTATGAACATTTTTCCTATTTTGTTTTGTGAAACTTGTTTAAGTTGATATTTTGATGTTGAAACTAATTAATGCATACCATATGTTTATATATGCATACACACACAGACACATATATTTTAGTTCTAAGAAATGTTATATGAACCACTATTTTTGGACCGCTATACCATCGCTAGAACCGCTATTTCAAATATCGGTCATGACTGCAATTTTGTATTTTCACCGCTATAACAACATAGCTTTTGGCATCTAAACCATTGTACCATGGATTTGTCAAAATCCCATCTTCTATATATGCTTTGACCATCATTGCTCTCAAATTTCAGTTGTCATCTTGGTTGCTTCCATCTCTCTTGTCTCAATCTCCTCCTTTACAATAACCGTTTCCTATTAAAGGATTGAGTATCAATAGAAGCCTTCAAAGCTTGCTCTTTGAAATTTAAACTCCTGTTCTACTTTTGCTCATGCACCGACAGAGAGTTTTCAATTTATCAGAAGTGAGTGCATTTATGTCTTTTGACCCCTCATTTGAGCAAACCACATAATCATTCATTAGCATTAGGAAGCACTATACATTCTCAACGATGGTGACATCCTCTGGTTTCTCGCCTTGGAACCACATCTAGTTACTTGTCTTCCTGGTTCTATCACAATATCTAGTGACCAATTTACAATCTTTCATGTGCAAACTCTCAAAGTCCATCCTCAAAGCTTGAAGTTGTGATGCTTCACTCTGGAAGAGCCTTGATACTTCATCAATCCTATCCATGGAAATTTTCTTTGCAAATAATAATTTCGAAGATAGGACAACCTACAGCCTGAAAGAGATGATTATTTTACTTCATGTTTTAGCTTTCTCACTACCATTGGCCAATACTCATTTGACTGTAGGAAACTCTGTGTCAACATTCTCCAATGCTCATAATGACCATCGAGATGAGAAAAGTTTTCTTGTATATAGGTGCTCTCTGAGGCCATGGGTGACGATGAAAAGAGACAACAGCTACAAATTTTTCTTGGTGAATTCTATATCAATAGTGTCTCTTTTTCAGGATCTCACCCCTTTTGATAACACTGTTGCAAAAATAGAGGAGATAGAATGACACAAAAGAAAATAATAGACAAACCTTGCAAGTGAAGCCTCTAAACAGTTATAAACAAACCCCATGATTTTCTAGTTTAATGTCATAACCTAAAGACTAGGGTAACATGGCAAAACTACTGACAACCACGAATTAACTGCCAACTACTTGAAACTAATCAGCCAGCGGTAGAATTATTGACTCACTTAGTACAACTATCAATGGTCATTTTGATATCACCGCTCCCTTTTTACCCTTCTGATAAGTGTTCTTCATGAAATGGATTAGAATTTTTGGTGAGCTTTTGCTTTCAGTGTCATTGCAGTTTATTCATATAGCTCAAAATCTTTGCTTCACAATTAGGTTTGTCATTATATTGATTGAGTTCATATATGAACTGGTTTGCTACTTTGCCATGAAAATAAGTTTGTGGATGAATTTATTATAATAGAGATGTCAACAACCTCCGCAGCTATGCATAATTGTACTTGGTTTACCAAACGCTGGTTTTCGGTTGGACACTTAACAGTTATGTAAACACAGTAAGAAATCATATGGCAGGCAATGCTTTTTCAAACATTGGAATATCATAAGTTTTGTGTTCTGAAACAGTACAAACATCTTGTGGAATGTGTCATAAGGCACATTCCTAGACTAAGTTTTCTGGGCAAGTAATTGTTTCTGGCTTTTCTGTAATCAGGTCACAGAAAATAGATTAATGAACCCATATCAAAGATGTGTTTGGTTGTGGACGATCATATTGAAAAGTTCTTATTGGTGTAAAACTTGTAATCTCTGTCTATGCAGGCGTACTAATGTTTTAGCTTTTATTTTATGGAAATGGGCATTCGACACCAAAAGAATAGCGATCGGTTGCGCACTATATGGACCCCTGAGATGGATAGATATTTCATTGACCTCATGTTGGAGCAAGTTGGAAAAGGAAACAGGATTGATGACCATTTATTCAGTAAACGAGCATGGAAGAACATGATGTTGTTGTTCAATACCAAATTCAAGTTTCACTATGAAAAAGATGTTTTGAAAAATCGACACAAAACCTTAAGAAATCTGTACAGGGCAATAAACAACCTCCTTTCCATGAACGGGTTTAGCTGGGACCAAACTCGTCAAATGGTGACTGCTGATAATAATGTGTGGGATGATTATATCAAGGTACATTTTGTTTTAAGTTTGAACATCACCTTTTCTTTAGATGTAGTTTTCAACTTCTAACAGAATCATAGAATTCTTGCTACTCTTTTTTGTTTGCTTCACCTTGAAGTCGATCACTACCTGTGTGTGTGCGAGTGTGTGTTCCTTTCAGGGAATTGAGGATGAGTTATTTGTGGATATGCAGGTACACCCAGATGCTCGATCATATAGAATAAAAACCATTCCGTATTACTATGATTTGTGTCAGATATATAAAAATATATCCACGGAAGGGAATCTTGACACTTCTGATGAAAATCCAGAACGTGATTGTAAGGCATTAGGAACTGAGGGAGAAGACTGTCTAGTGAAATCATTGTCAGGATCAGTTGGTGATGCTATTCTTGAAAATGAGACTGGCAATGCTGATGAAGCTGATTTGGAGGCTCTTCATGAAATTATGATTGATGAAGATTTTAGAGTCTCCATCTCTAAAGAGTTTGCTGATGGCATTCCTCAATCCGAGGAAGATATGGGATTGACATCAGGACGGACTCGTGCTAGGACATATTGGCAACCACCAATGGATCGTTACTTCATTGACCTTATGGTTGACCAAGTTCAGAAAGGTAACCAGATTGACGGTTTGTTTCGCAAGCAAGCATGGATAGATATGATCAAGTCATTTAATGCCAGGTTTGGTTTCAAGTATGATGTTGATATTTTGAAGAACCGATACAAGACCTTTAAAAGACAATACAATACTATAAAGAAGCTTTTGGAATCAGAAGGGTTTTTCTGGGATGATTTACGTCAAATGGTGATTGCTGATGATCGTGCCTGGCAAGATTACATTGAGGTTTGCATTATGTTTTTAAGTGACTGTTATGTGTTTTTTTAGAGACCTTGCTCTCTGACCTATGAAAGTGCAGCTGAGCTCTTGTTGTTTAGCCATTACCATCTGAGAGTGTTGCTTTTTAGTTCCAGATGAACTTGTATCCCTTACCTTTTTCTAGCTAGCTGAATGTTATTAAGATGGGTACCTGCGATATGGATACTGAAATCTTGAAAGCCACCCTTAATAGATTTTGAAAAACTTCCTATTTGTTATAACTAATGTGATTTAAAGGGGGCCTTGTCTAAGATTTTCTCTCTTTATTTTGATTTGTTTTCCTTGCTGAAAAGCTGTTGCTTTGGGGTGGTAGCTATGTGTTACATTATTGTTATATGTATGTGCAGGCAAATTCAGATGCACGGCAATACATGACGAGACCAGTGCCTTACTATAAGGATTTGTGTATTGTATGTAAAGAAGTGAACACGAGCGATGGAAGAGAAAGTCTTTCTGATAATCATTCAAACCAAAAAGATGAAGCGGGAATCTTGAAGCAAACTCATTCAGCTACTGTTTCCGATGAGCAGGAGTCTCCCCATCTGGATCTTAAACGGAAGCTGGAGAACAGATGGAGTTCAGAGCATTTGAAAAAAGCAAGGATGGATGAGGAGAGCATGGCAAGTGCTCTTCGCGAGATGGCTACTGCAGTATCTTGTTTGGCAGATAAGATGAAGAATGAAGATGATGATGATGATGATGATGATAACTCTTCAAAGTTGATTGCTGTCGTTAAAGCTATTCAAGGGTTACCTGACATGGATGAAGACCTCATCTTGGATGCTTGTGATTTTCTGGAAGATGATGATAAGAAGGCAAAAACATTTTTAGCCTTGGATGTCAAACTAAGAAGGAAGTGGTTGATTAGGAAACTTCGCCCCCAACATTCGAGTATACAAGTTAAACCAACACAGCTTTGATACTATCATTTAAACAATGCAGTTATGGTTTGTGGGTGCATTTTGGTTTGCTACCATTTTCATCAGCCTGCATTTTTGTAATTAAAAACACAATTGCAGCCCATGTATAAAAACTATAATTCATTTATGTGTTATAGACTCCTAATTAATTGTTTGTGGGTTATTACTAAAATTATGCACGTACCTTTTAGTTTATCCTAGTCTACAAAACACAAGCTAATGACTATTATTGTGTGGCATTTAAAGATCCCTATAACTATACCTTCTCGACATACTTTGATATTGTTATATAATGCTACATGAATGTTATTAGTTGTGTACCTGTGTAATGTAGTAAGATACAAGATATTACTGTAAACCGAGAATGAAATACTAAGACCATCTCCAACAGCTAATGTTAAAATAGAGAAAATGAATCTCTAAATTTAGAAAATTTTCTAAAAACTTTATAGAAACGAGAGAAACAATCATATTTAACCAATTAAACTTATTGAAATTAAATGTGTAAGAGAGAAAAATAATATTTTATTAAATGTAGTTAATGCTAGAATTGTTAAAATAGAATAGCATTTGGAGTTTGATGGAAATCTTTTTAGAGATTTTGATTTTTTTTTTCATACTTTGTTATTGAATTTTTTTAACATAGTTGTTAAAGATGCTTTAATGTAATTTTTTTATTAAAAATGAAAAGTCAAAACTTTTATTGGAATAAGATAGAAATTATGAATGGTGGTTGAAATTGTAGTTACTATTAATTTGAAGAGCTATAAAAAATATGTTGATATTGGTATCTAATTAAAGATTATATAAATTTCATTTTTTTGATATGATTTATTTAATTCAAATTTTGAAAATAATTTAGATATTTTAGATTTTGGAAAAATATATAATTTAGTTTAGTTTTAATGGTTGGGAATGGATAATATTTATGCGGATAAAGATAATGATACAAAAGTAGTATATTTTATTAGTAAAACATGTTATTTTTGAATATGTTTATCAGTTGATTTTATACATATTAGAAGGGTATTTGTGCAATGCATTAAGATACATTTCTTTCGTTTTATTCATTTTCTATGTCGACATAAACGATTTTATGTGGTTTTGAGAAAATAATAATGTTTTTTATTTTTGAATAAAATATAAATTTGAAAATATCATAAAATTTTGAAAAAAAGAATATCGATATCAATACCAAATTAATCTTTTTAAAAGGTTTTGTGTTTTAGTGTAATTTCCTTAATTCAATTTTTTAAATTATAATTTAATTTAGGTTTAATAATATAATTTTCTATAAAAATAATAACTAAGTATTCTGTTAGAACTCAATGATTATCSTAATTATATTTTAGATTTTTTATATTTAAAATGAAATGTTTATTCAATATTTGATTATGTTTATCTACAGTTAATTACACGAATTCAAATATGGAGCGTTAATAAGTTGTACTTATACACAAATTACTTGTAATCTTAAATTTTAAGTAATATATATGAATAAACAGTAGTTCATACATAAAAAATAGTTTTTAAGAGTCTTTGTTAAATGTTTTATAATATAGTATAGATGAGAGTTAGTTTTAAACCAAAAAGAACAGTCATGATTAAGAATCTATTTTAAAAGCAATCCCATGACGATGTATGCAAGAAAGACAATGCATATAAATAAATAAATGAATGAATGTTGAGAGTGAGACAAGAAAAATAGTAGTGGATTGGGTGATAATGTTTATGTTCCTCTTTTTTATTTCTCAACTTAAGCTGATGTTTTGTAAGAAGTGTATCAATTCAAATAGTTCTGTAATTTGATTTTGATGATTCACAAATACATATACATATACATACATACATACATACATATATATATATATATATATATATATATATCAACATGTTGTATGAAAGAAGGGTGCTGGGTGTGTTGATGTAAACCATGCATTAATGAATACTTATATATACAACTGGAAGATGCTATTGCTATTCCTATTGGTCTCCCATCATTATCATTATCATTTTCATTTTCATTTTCTCAAACTCAAACTCTAAAGTCTAAACTAAAACCCAAAGACAAAAGAGCTGTTGCTAGCTGTTTTTGGAAGGAGAGAGGGAGGGACATGTTCTCCATCTTCAACATTACATTAAAAATAAATCTCTCCAAATCCTTTCCTTCCTTGCAACATACAAAAGCCATACAGATGTTCCTTGTTTCATTTGTACTCAAATGAATTCATCAATCCATACATACATACCAACATTACCATAATACATACCAAATCAACCACCAATGCACTCCACATGAGCAACCTGTTCATTACACCCACACCCACATCAATCCCCCCCTCTCTCTTTTAATCATCATTAACCAATATTATTATGGATTAACAGTACAAAGTCTTTTTCGAGATTATCTTTACCTTTCTTCACAGACATTTAACATGATTTCATTGGAACCAAGGGCCACACGCTTACACTTGCTTTACCATGCCTTATTATCATGTTATGAATCATCATCAGCATCCGTTCCAAGTAATCGGGCAACAAACTTCTTCCAGGGTTTGGGCTAAACCAACATGGCCAAAGTTTGCTTACATTAACATCACACTCACACTCACACTCCAACCTGGATTTAGATTGGGATTGGGATTGGGATTGGGATTGGGATTGGGATTGGGGCATTGGCATTGGCATTGATCGGCAGCATTGGGATTGAGATTAAAAAGCATGGTGGCAACCAAACATCCATCATTTCTACCTTTACTTCCTCTTCTCTGCCATCAGGGTTATTGCTAAAAATTACTCAACAGTCTTTTCCTTAAACGATAGCACCCAATTCCACATTCACGGAAACATGTTGTCAAATCAAATACATTCTACTAGCAGCTACTCAAGAATCAAAATGCTGGCTACTTCATGGAAAATCCACCAAAACCACAAGCACTAATTGAATATCTTTTCATCTTTTATTATCAGAATGCAGAAATAATGGAATAGAATACAGATGCCCAAGATAACATGTCCCTTAATTCAACAAAAAACTATAAACCCCCCTCCCCCAAAAAAGAAGACAAAAAAAAGAAGAAGAAGAAGAATATGATGATGACGACAATGTAAGAAACAAATAGAAAAAAACATTCACGGGAGAAATTTACCGGCGTTGAGCTCTGTGGAAACTAAGCTCTGGTAATCACATAGACTGTCCATACAGATCGTATGGTGCCCATAGGGCATCTAACGGGCACGGCCGTTTCGAATCCAGCCTTAGCCATGGCTTTCCGCTTCCACTCCAATGCAGTAGGCTCACCGGACCAGGGTGCAGGTCACGGCAGCTCCCCTTCACGTTATCCCCACCTAACCCGTGTTGATTCCACCCATGATCTATCGGCGCCACGTGTCCTGCAAAAACCAATAGAAACGGCGGCAATGACCCCAGCTCGTATATCCGGTCGCTCTTCTGGATCTCCATCCACCTCTCGATCCGTTTCGTGTACCCAAACTGCCTCCATTTAACCAGATCGATTACCATCACTCCGGTGTTAAAGTAACACGGCTTCCTTTCGCTGAAAATACTAGAGTACTTCCTATTTGACCAGAAACCTGTGGTGAAATATTTTGTGAAGTTGGCGTGACAGTATTCAGGGGCTCCGATGGTTTTTTCTCCTAAGCTCGTACTCCAAAGCTTCGAAATGTCATCAACCACCACGAGATCGGAGTCCAAATAGATGACTCTCCGAACACACGGCTCCAATATATCGGCCAAGTAATTCCTCGCGTAATTAAGCGGCTGTTCCAACGCCTGCCTCACTGATGTGGAGATTAATTTCCGAACAATCTCCGGTTCAAAATAATAGACCTTGAACTTCAATTGGGGGAAAGTTGACCCAACTAGGGTTTTGAGACCCGTATCCGAGACCAAAAAGTGGAAGAAAATACTCTCAGGGCACGATGAGTGTTGCAATATGGAATGAACGGCAGCAATCGAACCTCGTAAATACTCAAAATCGAGAGTAATCGCAACGTGCACCAGAGACGGATCGCATACATCGACTGAACCTTTCCTTGTCTGACATCCAGCGGCATTACGGAATGTAGAAGCTCTACGGAAGGAGGAGCGGTAAGTGACGGTGCCGGGAATATGACCACCGGGAAGACGGATGTAGCCGTCAATATGAGTATGAGACGATCTGATGGCTTCAGCAGGATGAAAAGATTGAAGAGAAGGAGCCAGCACAATCATGACCATTGTGGCGGATACAAAGCCTGAAAATCTGATTATCCATTGCATCTTATAATTGTAAACCAGTCTCCTCCACTTGTTCTTCCTCCTTTTTGATCGCAAATCAATACGGTCCGTCAACAAATATGAAATTGCAGCAAAAAGGAACGCTAGGGTTCCTTCGATGTCCGCCAGAATTGAAAAGCAAAATCAATCAGACAATCAATCGGGGAATCGGAAGTGATTTTATAAATAAATGATGAAGTTGAACCTTTTTTTTTTTTCTGTTAATCAGAGGAAGATGCTGCCGTGAGAAGGAAGCGAACTTCTTCTGATGCGATAATGAAAGGGAGACGATAATCCATAAGAGAAAGAGAGGGTGACGACACTATGCGCCGACCAGTAAAGGTGTCGGTGTTATTATACACTGTGCATGATATCTCCTGGCCGACAATGGCTCCGCCCCCCTATCTCCGGCGGAGGAACGACGGACGGAAGAGGGAGAAGACGGGAAGGGAGATTGTGGTTGTTTAATTTTGGGTTCTGGAGATTGAGCGGTGACATAGTGTTATTATGTTGTTGGAATCAAGATTTGTATACACACACACACACACTCTCTGGTTCACGATTCATTAACTTTTTCTATATTTCTATTTCAAGCACCTTTTACAAATTATTTTAATTAAAAAAAGAAAAAGAACTCATATTATTGATTTTTTAAATAGCGATATCGATCGATAAAAACGATAAGGGTCCTTAGTCCGCCCTTATGTAGTACATAGAGGCGTAGTGAAGGAGTGGAGGCGTCGGGATTCGGACCCGTACATCTGTCGACACCTTTCGTAACACTTTACATCTAAGGCTTTCGATATAGTCCACCCGTCTAAGTGAGCGCCTTTTCTTTTAGCCTTTTTAATTGAAACCCCAATAGCGAATGCGCTTGACCGACCCGCCATCTATTTCCTTCAATAATGCATTCGCTTCACTTCAAGACGCTATTTGCCAAAAGAGGAGGCCGTAGAGAAAAGTCTTTTTTTATTCCTTTGTCTCAAACTTTATGGAAGAACTCCATTCTATCTCCCCCTAATTATGAACAAAAAACTGGGGCTATGACCCAGTTTTACACTCCCTTCGTTCTACTAACCCTTGTTGATTATGAACTTCGTTCGCAAAGGCAACGGGCTTTTAGTAGCAACTTTTAGTATTTTTTTTCGAAAATAAAAATTTGACGATGATATGTGTGATAACGAGGTATTAAATATTAAAGTTTGGGATGGTTTTATTTTTAACTTGATGATAAGTTAAGAGACTTTAACTATGAATGTGCTTAAGTGATTAAACATTCTTACCGCCTCTTATAATTTATGATTGTTAACATGAGATATTTGTTTTGCCTCATGGGGAAATGTGAAATGATGAAATAATAAACTTCACCTCCTTTGAGTTAATTATGGTGGTATAAAAGTATTAGATAAGATTCATCTTATCTTATTGTTGTTTTTGGAGAGAAAGATAAGAAAGAAAAACTTTTCTGGGTGTTTTCCTATGAGAGAAAAGAAGAAGTTGATTATGTGATTTTATTCAAAGTTGCTGCTGTGTAAATTCATCTTCAAATACGTGAAAAATATGAGTTTATGTTATCAAATTTCTTTATTTAGTGTTTGAAATATTAAACCGTATGGTTCTTATGTGGGAAGTTGATAAAACAGTTTCTTGAAAGCTGTTTGAGTTTGATGGTAATTTGGTATAAAACTGTAAGGTTCTACATATGAGTTTCTGTTTTGAAACGGTTTTGATTGCCAGTTTTGTAAAAAAGATGGTTTTAGTTATGATTATATTATGATGTGTTGTAATAAGGGTGACATACCAAGGAGTTGCGTACAAAGGTGATATAATCAGGAGTTGCGTACATTTGTAACAAGGGTGACATAATCAAGAGTTGCATACATTGACAATAAGGGTGATACTCTATTATTGGAAATGATGATCTTTTGATCATGGGTTTTGTTATCACATTCTTATGAGGTAATGATCTTAAGTTATCGTATCTGTGTGATACGTGGACTTGGGCTGTCACATCCTATTGTTGTGATAAAAAGAAGTATTTAAGGACGAGAAGGGCTTTGGTTGGTCTTCATGTTGAACTAGAGGGCTTCTGGTTGTGTTTGGGTCTTTGATCTTTTCAAAATGTTCAACTTATTTTGAACTAGAGGCTCTGCATGTGCTATGCAAAAACTCTGTATTTGGAAGTTGAGCTATACGCTCGAACTCTATGTCCAAGAACTTTTAATAATTAAATCCTTTTTGATTAAACCATTTTCAAACTTTGTTTTATATCAACACTTAGAAGCCAAAACATAGTTCAACTAAAATGGCTCTGGTCGTCCAGAGGGCCTCTGGTTTGCCTTGGCTTTGGGTGGATTCTTTCTAAGTGTGTTGTCTTTGGCAAATGAACTAAAGAGGCTCTGGTTGATATTCACGTTTAAATCAGAGAGCCTCTCATCATATTTAAAGTCATTTTCTAAGTATAACTCATTTCTAGTTAGGCGAACCAGAGGCTCTGGTCGTCCAGAGGGCCTATGGTTGGCCATATCTTTTTATTTGGTCTGCTTCTGATTAGCTTATAATTTATACATATGTAATAATATAATGACTTAATCATTTGAGAACTTTAAAAATTGTAAGATCCATACAATTAAGTTATATATAGATGCAAATAAGTAGTTTGGTCGATTAAACCACAAATGAAAAGGTCACCGCAAACAAAACCAATCCGTGGGATTTGGCTATATTTCAAACCAAAACACACTGCCAAATTGTCAGGCTGTCTAAAGAGGATCGATTTCGTCTAATTCAACTGATTTTCATTGTCTAATAGTTTTTTGAAACACCCTACACGAAAGGAGATAATGGATTTCTTTTGTACTTTTGCATATGTTGTGAGAAATACTATTACTAGAATATTATCGTATCCTTTTTCTTGTTAAAAGGACTTTATATTAATCAAATGGACATGAATACTACATTTTTTTAGTAGAAACTTAAATAAATACATGTGAAACAACATGAGAATTTCGAGAAAGTGTCATCTAAGTTCAATCACTTAAGATTAAAAAATCACACTACATCTGATCATGCACATATTGATTTAGAGGTCAATACCCACAAACCGATGACATAGCTATAATACTTGAACAATATTGTCATGTATGCATTGTATTTGATCGTATATTGCTTTTACTGTTTGCAATTAAGTAAACATGCAAGTAATCCTTGCATTCAACATTGGAAAGTAACCAGAAGAGTGTTTGATTTCTTATAGCAGGTTAAACCATATTACGGTCAATTCTTTAGTATTTTAGAAAGCTAATTTGATGCAAATTGGATTAATGATTTTTGGGATCCGTAGGATCTTCCGCTTCATATTTCTTTTTTAGCTTGTGTTGAGACTTTTTTTTGGAATATCCTCTTCATACTCAACTGTCGAAATGGTTGTATCATGGACGACTAATAAACAAACTTATATTGCTATCTTCTATGGAATTTGGGTTATTGCCTTAGCATTACAGTTGAAAATTAAGTTGAGTGGATTAATGATCTGCTAAATGGAGATATCTGATTTTGGTCTATGTTAGGGTATGTTGTCACAACGACATGCAATAAAACATAACACAAATTCCACTTTGTATGTTGTAGGTTTTAAAATGTTTTTATTTTTTTTATAAAGCTTAATAAAAAGAAGAGAGAAATAAAACATTTCTTTATCTTTCTTATATTTAATATTAAAAATGAAAGGATAATATATTATAACTTTAAAAATAAAGTTTTACAAAAAAAAAGTAGCATAATATATTCCCGTCATGTCCCTTTTTTTCTTTTTATGACCAAAACACCTTTTCTATATCAATGGAATGTTGATATTAACCCGAAAATCTGTTTTGAATATCTTACCGAACTCAAATTGGTATGTTACTCATTTCATGTGAGAGATGGAAATTTGAGTTTTTATGCTTAATAAACAGTCATCGCTCAAGTATTAAAGTAATGTTCAATGTTACTATTTTTCAAAAAATATGTTAAATCCTTTTCAAAATATCCTTAAATTTACTCTATCAATCTCAAAATAAGTATTTTTATTTTTATTATATTTTGACTCAAAATAAATATACATTTGTATAGATAATTATTTAATTTACATTTATATCCCTTATATATATATATATATATATATATATATATATATATATACACACACATACTAGAAGGGTACTCGTGCAATGCAACGAGATACATTTTGATTTTAATATTTTGTTTTATTCCTTGTGACAGTGGATGTTATAATTGGTCTTATGTGATTTTGAAAAAATGATAATGTTTTTTATTTTTGAATAAAATATAAATTTTAAGATATCATAAAAAAATGACAAAAATATATCGATATTAATATTAAATTAACTATTTAAAACTTCTTATTTTTTGTGTAAATTTTTAATTCAATTTTTTATTATAATTTAATTTGAAGTAATTTATATTTGATTTAATAATATAATTTTTTATAAAAATAATAAATAATTATTTTGTTAGAACTTGATGATTATCCTAATTATATTTTAGATTTTTTATATTATAAAATAAAATGTTTATTCTATATTATTCGTAGTTAGTTACACGAATTCAAACATGAAGCTTTAATAAGTTGTACTTATACACAGTTTACTTGTAATCTTGAATTTTAAGTAATATACATCAATAAACAGTATTTCATGCATAAAAAATGGGTTTTAAGAGTTTTTGTCAAATACTTTATCATATAGTGTGTGTGTATATATATATATATCTATACTATATTATAAAGCATTTGACAAAAACTCATAAGGACCATTTTTTATACACGAAGTACTGTTTATTGATGCATATTTAAAATTTAAGATTACAAGTAAGTTGTGTTTGTACTTATTAAAGCTCCATATTTGAATTCATGTAACTAACTACGGATAAACATAATCAAATTATGTTTGGTAAAGAGAATAATCTTCTCCTTTGAGAATAATCAAAAACGGGGATAAACATCTCATTTTAAATATAAAAAATCTAAAATATAATTAGGATAATCATTGAGTTCTAACAGAATACTTAATTAGCATCTTATAAAAAATATATTATTAAACCTAAATTAAATTTCTTTGTTAGTAAATCCAAATTAAATGATAATTAAAAAATTGAATTAAGAAAATTACACCAAAAAATAAGAACTTTTAAAAAGATTAATTTGATACTGATATCGATATATATATATTTTTTCAAAATTTTATGATACTTTCCCATTTATATTTTATTCAAAAATAAAAACATTATCGCTTTCTCAAAACCACATAAAACCGTATTATATTTACGTCGAAGAAGAAGGAGTATTACAAAGTATGTTTAATGGGACCCACCAAGAATTCTACATGTACTCCATCCTAATATTTTCGACTTGCTGGCATCTCATAAACGGACGGATTTTAGTTGGTTTTTAGATTGATTACATTTGGTTCTCACGGATTTTGATGTGATCTCGATTCTATGGTTGGATATGATTACTTCTAAAGCAATCTGCTTGTTAACTTCTCCGAG